TCCTTCCTTCCTTCCTTCCTTCCTTCCTTCCTCCCTCCCTCCCTCCCCCCCACATAGGGATTTGCCATACTTTGCATGACAGACAGATGCTGAACCCGAGTTGGAGAAGTCTTGACAATTCAGTGAGGAGCTAATCTAAAGGGGTTGTTGGTGGTGGTGGTGGTAAAAGTAGGGTGAACTGAAGTCCAGTTAATCTCTTCCTTTGAGATGTGGGGCTGGCTACCTGCTTGGCTGGCTTCACAAAAGGGTTGGACCAATTCACAGAAGTCCTGGAGATCAGTGGCTGAAGGGCATCTGCTGGGAGATGGGTGGGCTTCCTTGGACAGTTGGTGGCCCACTGGGAGAACAGGCTGCTGGACTAGATGGGCCAGGGGTCCCATCCAGCAGGCTCATGTTCTGAGAAAACCGGTAGTGACCTAACTCATCAGAGCCTGTGGGAAGTTTCTCACATGAAAAAAGTTGTCACCCCCTTGAATCTGAGCTCAGAAGGATATCAATGAAAGCCATGCAGGCTTCTTGAGAGACCTCTTCGCTGCTCAGGATCTTCTTCAACAAGGGCTGCTTGATCGGTTCCCTGGTGTAGGACCAGAGCTTGTCCTTCCCCCTGTTTTTGGTGATCATCACTCTGCTCAGGGTGTGCTTGGGGGGCGGCCTGGCAAGAAAGAGGAAGCAGAGAACACAAGATTGTCGGACTTGGCACGGATGCTGGTCACCACATAGGGTTGCTCGGGAGAATGGCACGATGCCTCAATGGTGGGGTAGGGGGCTAGGATTGGGTACCATGCCTAGGATATGCAGGAAGAGAATGCGTGCTTGCTTCTAATTATTATTACTGTTTAACTTTTCATTTGATTTGATTGCATGACAAATTTTATAAAAAGATTCGCAAAAATAGAGAGAATGCAAACGAAAAGGACAATGATAACAAACTGAACAAGGAAAAAACAAATGAAAATGAAAAAGAGAAAAAAATGATCATGTACAGCATATATAAACTAATAAACAATGTATAGCAGTATAAAAGTTTCTAAGTTAAAGAGAATAAATGATCATATTCTATTACAGAGAGAATGCAAACGAAAAGGACAATGATAACAAACTGAACAAGGAAAAAACAAATGAAAATGAAAAAGAGAAAAAAATGATCATGTACAGCATATATAAACTAATAAACAATGTATAGCAGTATAAAAGTTTCTAAGTTAAAGAGAATAAATGATCATATTCTATTATTGTAAAATAATGTGAAATCTGTGCCAGAGGGAAACATATTGCATCTTTTTTTATTAGTAGAGATTAACAGAGATTACATATCTCCTGAAGCCAATTCTTAATATTGGGAATAATATTACTTTTTCAGGTTCTCAAAATAATCATCTTGGCAATAACTTATGGCCGATATAGCCACAGGTTCCTCAAAAACAGTCAGATTCCAGAGTTTTGGAAGATCATTTAACACAATCTGAGCATCTTTAACATTAGAAGAGTTCCTCATAAAATTTGAAATTTTTGGATAGAATATACAAATGGAACAATGGGAAAAGATGTGGACGAAACGGTTAACATTTACACTGTGTTATAACTTGAAGGAGAATTTCTATAAAATGATGTGCAGATGGTATTTTCCACTGGAAAGATTACCAAAAACGTATAAAGGGGTTTCAAATATATGTTGGAAATGTGAACGACAAGAAGGGACTTTGGTGGACATGTCATAAAGCTAAAAAGTTTTGGACTCAAATTCATATATTAATCCAGAAGATTTTGAAGGTTAATATACAGTCAAAACCAGAGACTTTCCTTTTGGGATTGATGGCTAAACAATTGGAAAAAGTTCAGGGATCTCTGTTTTGATATAGGATAACAGCAGCAAGACTTTTATACGCTCAAAGGTGGAGGGAGAAGACATTACCTACAATGGAAGAATGGATGGCGAAGTTGATGGAGTTAGCTGAGATGGCGAAATTGACGGCTGTGATTAGAGAAAAGACATTGACTAGGTTTAATGCTAATTGGAAGCCCCTTTGGGACTTTTTGCAGGAGACAGCAAAAATGAAATTATGATATATGGATTTGATGATTAGTTAAATTAATAGATTAAAAGAGTTCCTCATAACTCTAGCTATATGTGTCAAAATGATGTTCCAGAATACTTATTTCTAATTAGGAAATATACTATTTATATAACAATAACAGCTGCAAGGCTTGTTCAGTCACCTGAGCTGTGGCTTAAATCCCATGAATTTCTGCCTTAAATTCCATTGATTTCAGTGGGAACAAGGTTCAATTCTGCCCAGATGCAAATCAATATTTCTATTTACATCATTTTATGAATTAACAATATGAGATTGTGGCCTTCCCTACAAGTGCCTCTAGACCTGCTCCCATAATTCCCTGGTAGCATAGCCATGCTGGGGGCTGATGGGAGTTGTAGTCCACCACTTTTGGAAAGCACTGCCCTGGAGAGCTGTTTATTTGTCTTTATCTTGTACTGTATTACCAATTTAATAAATTCATATGCCACCCAACTCCCAGTGACTCTGGATGGTTTAAGGAGGTTGGGGGTGAAACTCTTAGCATATATATATATGTATATATGTATGTGTATATATACACATATATATATATACACACACACATACACACACACACACACACTAATATAAAGTAAGAAGAAGGAAAGAAAAAGAAAGAAATCAAAGAGAAAGCTGAAAGTGCAAGAAAAGAAAAGAAAAAAAGGGAAATAGAAAGGGAAGAAAAAAATACAAAGAAGTGGCTTCCAATCTTCTTTACGGCAGTCGTAAGTCCAATTATAAATTTACCTCTTACTCTAAGGTTACATCATGTCTCTCTTCTTTCTACAATCTATCCTGTCTAATCATCAAAACCATAAATCATCAGTCCATTTTTGCTGTTTTATGCAAAAAGTCCTTAAGGGGTTTCCAGTCGGCCATAAATGTGGATATTGTCTTTTCTCTGATCAAGGAAGTCAGTTTAGCCATCTCAGAAAGTCCCGTCATCTTCGCCAGCCGTTCCTCCGTTGTGGGTATGGCCAAGTCCTTCCACCTTTGAGCATACAATAATCTCACTGCAGGTATCATGTACAAAGTTCCATGACTTTTTTCCATCCGTCCCAAAGGAAAGACCTCTGGTCTCAACTGTATATTAACCTTTAAAATCCTCTGCATCAGTGTATGTATGTGAATCCAAATTTTCTAGCTATTTTGCACATCCACCAAGCATGATAAAATGTTCCTTCTTCTTGTTCACATTTCCATGTGCTTTTTTTTTTTTTTGGAAAAAGGCAAATATTAGGGTTTTCCTAAGATGTGTAAACTCAACTTTTTAAAAAAAATCCTTTTCTGCCAGTATTCACTGCTGGAGTTTGCTGCTGGAGTAAATTAAAAAAATATTTTTTTTTGCCTTGACTGGAGACACCTAAAGAAGAGGGCAACGAAGAACAAACATTGCAAACACAGAGAGAAAGCCAAGGGGAGGCATCAAATAAAACCAAAAATAACACAGTCTTAGAAAAGCTCAAATCAGAATCCTACTGGCACGGAAACCACTTTGGTTTAGAAGATCTCAGAGGTGAAATTCTTTCGACGTTATCGGCGGCTTCCTGTGCATTTTAACATTTCTCTTTAATGGGCGTTTTGATTCGTCTGACTCCACAGGGGCTTGGAAACTTCTGCCTGGAAATCAAACCTCCAGCCAACTTAAAGCTTGGGAGCCGATGCAGGCGGAGCCAAAGGGACTCGCTAAAAATATGACAAATTTAAAATCCAAAGAAATACGGAATCAGGGGACAAAGAATTCAGCAGGGAAGAGAAGACCGGGGTAGATGGAAATACCGCTGATTGGTTAAGCGTTAAAAAGGACACCTGCCACTGCTTTTTTCATAAGTCCCCAGAAGAAAAGCATGCCACTTCTGTTTGCAACCACTGATATGGGATGCAACAAACATCTCCAGAAAGGGCAATCTATAATCTGGATGTCACTGCTTTCTTAAATTTTATTTTTTAAAAGTAATTTGGGTGCCATTGCTTACAAGTTCCTGTCAAAGGTCCCATAACAGGTCAGGAACTGGAGCAGAAAGCATGCTGAGGACAACCTTGTAGGACACATTCTTAGGACAGTATGGAGGTTAATGGAGCTCCTGGCATGGTTGTGTGTGGCCTACGGGTGTCAACATTTTCAATGGGACCTCGACTTTGGCTTTTCTCTTTTGTTTTAAACTGATCTTGATAATTGTGTTATGTTTTTATCTTGGTTCACCGCCCAGAGGGCCCACAGTCAATAGGTGGCCCTATGCATTTGTTTCATAAAGAAACCAATTCATCATGAAAAGCTGAAGACAGATGAAAACTGACAGGGTGTCCAGCTCAGTTTTGACAGCTTTACCTAAAATAATCATAGGAGAATTCTTCCAGGGTGTATGGCTTTATCCTCTCTTCACTGTCACTCAACACCAGCTGGGCTGTCCTTATGACATCCTGCCTCTGGTTGGGGGTCATTGTAACCAAAGCCTGGGGGAGCAGAGACGGCCCAAGTTAGTTACAGCAAATAGAAACTGACTGAAGATGAATCAGATAAAGTGATGTGACCCTCACTTTCTTCAACACCCTCCCCAACATTACATCCATACATTGCACGCCATATGGTAAATCAGGGTCAGCCCTACTGCTAGGTACGGAAGCAGATTTGGGCATCACGAGAAAGAAATATTACTTAATCTGTTTTAATTGCATTTTGACTGCCAAGGAAGTCTTACAAGACAAACACTCAACGAGTCCCAAGATCCCAAAGTTCCCCAAACTGGGCACCCTCCAGATAGGTGGATTTTAATTTCCCAGAATCCCCCTGGTGATATGATTGTTGCTTAGAATTCTGGGAGTTGAAGCCCACACATCTGGAGGTGCTCAAGTAGGAAAGAGGTGATATGAAAAAGCAAATTAAGTATGAAACCTTCTGAAAGAGACCCGGAAAGGACAGTTTTAGGAAAACAGAAATCCCTCCAGAGACCCCTTTCCTTTCTGTTCAACAGTGTGTCCTGTGGTTTACCACGATGTCTGGGGGAGGCATGGTCATGGTGGGCAGGACATAGACTGCATCGGTTGGAAAGTCTCCCTTCTGCTTGGTCCGTTCATTGACTCCATTGGCCCAGCCAGAATTCATCACATTTTCTCCTGTGTCCTGGTCCAGAATGAGCAAGTCTCCTTTGAGGAAGCTGAGAAAACCTGAGTCATCACCAGCTGGAGGGAGAGAGAAGAAGCAAAATGTCAGCATGGGGGACAAGAGAATGAGCTGGGTCCAGCTTGAAAAGACTGTGGTGTGCTACTGCCATGATGATCTGGGCTCCAGACCCCTGGCCCCTAGAGACCAGGGATGAACTAGATCCTTTCTGTAGTCAGCAGCATGGACAGGAAATGGACACAGCCAGACCAATAAGCAGAAAAGCAAAGGAGAGGACAAGTGGAGGAGGGCTGGGCTACATGTTACCTTGCCAACTTGAGCCAGAAGACCATTTCTGGCACCATTTGGCACCAAAGCTGGACCTGGGCTCAAGGTTGGTAGCTGCAAGGGTACATCCACGCACGTTCAATTTACACATTCAAAGGACACACTGCAGCAGGAGTACTTGGAAAGGGGAAAGGAGGGTTGGTTTGATCTCTTCTTAGCAATGGTGTTCCAGTGAAGATATGATTCCTACTCTTCTAGGCTGGAAGCCCCTGTAAATGTTGGTGGCGTTCACTGTGCCTTTGGCAGAAATGTTCATAGTTTTGGGGAAGGAAGGAAGGAAGGAAGGAAGGAGAGGGATAGATGGGAGGAAAGAAGAAGGGAAGGCAGGAAGGCAGGAAGCAAGGAAAGAAGTGGATGGGAAGAAAGGGGAAGGGGAAAGTAAGAAAGGAAAAGGAAAAGGAGCAAAGGATTGAGGATAGGAGAGGAGAGGAGAGGAGAGGAGAGGGGAAAAGGAAGCATAATTCCCCCCAATGTGAGATTGACCCCAACTCTGTTGGCCTTCCAGAAGGCCCTCAAAACCTGGTTTTGTCATCAGGCCTGAGGATCCCATGGAAGCGTGGAGCCTGTTAAATGGCTGGTGTAAGTTTAGATTGCATTCTTCCTCGTCCTTTTGTTATTATGGTTTTTAATACCTTTTCATTGGTTTTAATGGATTCTCTCATGCTAGTTTAGTTGCGTTTAGTCTAGGTCACACCAATAAAGTTTTCTGCTGAGCCAAGAAGGTTGGAGAGCAATGCACAAAGACCCTCACAGGATCCGGTCCTCCCTCTCTCAATTTCCTTCAAAATCCTTCGGTCTGGCTCCACTGCTTACCTGGATTTGGATTGTCTTGCAGCGTGACTACAAATTTGGATCTTTTTCTCAGCCCTTCCAGGAAGGTGACCACAAGGTCACGGATGTCCTCTGCATTGTTGGAAGTGAACGTGTATTCGTCGCCTTTGATTGTAGCCAGTGTGAAACTCTGTCCCTGCAGTTTTCCTCCACTGCAACAGGCATGACCAAAAAGAGATACAGGAGTCCCCGGGTTAAGAACGCCCGGTTTAAGGACAACCCATAACTAAGAATGGAGCCTACTGTAGCAAAATTCGAATTAAATACACAATGGTTCAAGTTCATTGCACCATACTACTGTACTTACATACAAGTTCGACTTAAGGACAGACCTTGGGAACAGAACTCGTTCTTAACCTGGGGACTACCTGTATAACCCTGCAGACCAGGCTGAACATTTAACACTAGAAGTCTTCCCAACATGTTGGCCAGAAGATGGCTTGGCTTGCTTGGACAAACACACCTGGCTATTAGGAAGGATTCCTGCCAATGCAAAAGGACCTAGCTCACTTCAGGATGACTCTGGGTGTGCATGTGTGCATGACACAGAGAGAGAGAGATCACCCTTTTGCGGGGAATTTTATGGCAAATTTATCATATCAACAAGCAAAACCTCTTGTGAATTTTAACTTGTTACTAGCGACCAGCAGGAGTAACACGCGAAGTCCTGTAGGTGATTCTGGGCACCACGTTTCCAGAAGGATGTTGACAGGTTAGAGAAGGTTCAGAGAGGGCCACCAAGATGATCCTGGGATGGGAGGACATGTCCTACAAGAATAGGCTGAAGGAACTGGGGATGTTCAGTCTGGAGAAAAGAAGACCTAGAGGAGACATGCTAGCCATGTTCAGGTACTCCAAGGGAAGCTGCAGAGAAGATGGTCAGGATCTATTTCTCATGGCCACAGAAACTTCAACCAGAAATAATGAGTACAAGTACTTCCATTTTGCTTAGATATAAGGAAAAACTTCCTGATACGAATACCTGTACAACAGTGGAACAGTCTCCCTATGGAGTTTGTGGGTTCTACATCTCTGGAGGTTTTTAAGAAGAGGCTGGACAACCATCTGCTGAGGAGTTGGTTCTCCTGTATGTTGCAGTGGGTTCAACTAGATGACCTTTGGGGTCCCTTTCAACTCCATTATTCTACAATGTTATGCAACCCAGTATTCTAGAGTGCTGATTTCTTTCCTTTTTATGCTGAGGGCCCACATTTACTTCTTTTTCTTTCTTTTTTTTTAAAAAAAACCACCCTTGTAGAGTTGTAGGAATTGGAGGCAGTGGGGGGAGAATGACGCTGATCCTGGAGGAAGCAGGACAACATATTTATTTGTTTGCTTGTTGATTTTCTCAGGGGTAATGCCTTCCTATATATAAAACAAGGCTGTGTACTGTGTCAAAAGCTTTTTCTGCCTGTTTTAGTCCTGAAAAATCAGTGGAAAATCAGGCTGTGAAAATCTACCCATTTGCCACCAACCATGGGGTGCCCTGGGCACTGTGGAAACAGGGCTGGGGGACAAAAGGGCCCCCCAAATTTTCCACTCCTGGGTTTATGTTACCTGAATCTATATTTCTTACAAGGTCGCACTGAAAACCGAGTTTGGGCTTGACTTTTGAGTTCTGCTTGGGTGGTGAGAAGTTATCAGTGATTTTGCTAGCAGACAGGATGAGGCTGAAATACAGGAACTTAACACTGCGTTTTATGACCCACAGGGGTGTTACCAATTCCCTAGAAATCTGGTAATTACACCTTAGGGCAGTGTTTTCCAAACTTGGCAACTTTAAGAGGTATGAACTTTGACTCGCAGAATTGCCCAGCCAGCTTATATTAGGATATGATATGTATTTTGATTAAAAAAAATTAAAAATGGATGTACAATTGAAACCAGAGATTTTCCTTTTAGGTATGATGGATAAACAGATGGAAAGAAAACA